ATCGTGTCTAACATAGATAGATTTTAATTTAGATCCCTTAAAAATATATTTTGAATCGAAGTTTATAAAGTCCATACTCATACATATATTGTATTTTATCCTTGTTCGTCCTTAATCGAATACAAAGTATCACATCAAAATGAAAAAAGATTATTGCGCATTGTTTCTTTGGATCAACTAATAACTTTGTACATTATAATAAATTAAAGTGGGTACATTTACATTATTGGATGTCTAAAATGGCGAGTAGGTTAACAAAATGCCTATTATTAGTTTTGACACTTACATATATACATGTATAGTGTATATATACAACCTCAATATGGCATCGTACTTTAAAATTAAAATAAATTATTAAGTATTTAAGCAGTTTACCTTTATGAAACATTTTTTTTTCTAACAGCTACGTACTTGCCGATTGTTACAGGATATCCCACGAAAAAAGTACCAATAGGGTAATAGGCAATACAAGTACGTCTAGAAGCACGCTAACATGAGACATATGCAATTTCGCATGGATGAATTATTTCTACAATGTCTTATGCTATCGTGGTTTTAAACGAGGGTGAAATTAATGGTTTTTGAGACACCCTGTGTAGGTATATCTACCTGTAGGTAAACTGCACGGAATATTTCCTGGTCATATTTCTACGTTACCACCACTAACTTTTTCCTATTTATGTATAATCGATGTTTTTGTAAATAATTGAATGTCTTCTACTATAAATATTATTCACAACTGCTATATGATATCACAGAATATTTTCATTTATTAAGTTATTTGCCTATATTACGTATGATACTGCGTAGTATTTACAAGTGTTTAAACAATTTTTTTTGCCAACGCAAATCCAGGAAATAAGCAAAAGAAAAATAAATAAAACTTTCTCATTTTGAAAAAGTAAGTAAGTACGGTCAAAATATGAAAACAATCAATTAAAAAATGTACGGCTTATTAACCGTATAGAATTTTGGTTCGAAACACAATAATCATAATATAATAAAATTAATTTCTGATGTAATGATAATAATTAATGAAAGTCGACAAATTAAAAATGAAAACTACTATTGAAAATCTACTTAATTGAGTAAAATGTGGGTCGTCATTTTTAATACCGGATTTAGCCTAATCCTACGTCTAACGTCATCATCACTAAAAATCCTACAATTGTAGACCAGGACGCCAATTTTCCATTACCGCTGAAACAAAAAAAAAAAAAAAATTCGGGACTATTTCGTCACAAATAAAAATTGCTTTCTCATTTTCTATATATCATTCTCATACATCCATACACTAACATAAACAACCCATAAAGCTGGATGGATCATGACTGAGGTCCTGGCAACATTCCGTGGTAGATGCGGGGTGAAATTGCACAATTATTTAGCAGATAAAATCATAAGCAAACAACTGAAGATAACATCTGTGTGCACATTCAAAGAAGCAGATAGGATGCAGTAGTTAAAAATTTCCAAACCAATTAATGAAGCGGTTAATTGTAAGATTATATGATTCAAATTTCTATATTATTCGTATTACAGACTTCTGTAAGCAGTGCATATTAGAATTATTCCGAAAAGGTCAATAAAAAATAGAATGATTAGCAGTACTTAAAACTTTCGATGAGTCAGGAATTGTGAACTCCTATGAAAATGATGTGTTTTCTTTTATCTAATGTTGAAGGATATCGTTTGGTTGATATTGACGTTTTACATATTTGTAGATAGTATTTAATTCACTTGAATTGAAGAAGTTTGATACAATCTTATTTTAGAGATAAACAGTTTCAATTATCAACTCTTCAGCACAAACAGAGAAAAAGAGAGGATTCTATGGAAGTTAATAAGAAAAAGGCGAGATAGTTTGGTAGGATACCTTGTCAGGCATGAAGGGATAGTCAAATCCATATTAGAGACAGACACGGAAGTTAGGAGGGGGTAGAGGTAGACCTAGATTAGATTACTATTCGCAAATAGTTAAGGATATGGGTTGTTTTAGTTTTAGGGAAATACGAGTATTAGCTCAAGATAGGAAAGAGTGGAGGTGCGTATCCAATCAGTCTTAGAACTGACGACCTTATGATGATAATGAAAAAGATATCGAAAATTCGTAATTTCATTAAAAGTCTCATTTTACATTCTACTAATTACTTTAAGTAACACACGTTTTTAGATTTGTGTTCAAATTTTTGAGCTAACCTCTTTATCGTCCTGTAATTATAATGTGGAGTTCTAGAGGCGTCAAATTTTTAACAGTTTTGGAAGAAAAATTAAAAACAGACTGCTGTATATAGTAATTGCTGAATAATTTAGATTTATGCTCAAATTTTTGGACTGATTTTGTACCATACCTTTTGAACTGAAACAGTTGTATATATAATTTCATTTATCAAATCAAAACTTTTAACTTTCTTCTAAAGGTTTTAGACTCAAGTTTCAAAGTTTTCCATATTCAGATGAAAAAACAGCTTACTTTAGCTGGTATAAACTGAATTGTTACGCATTTGACTTGAAACAGACGAAATGAAATCCTTAGTGGTTTGACAAAACGCGTTGTTTAATAGATACTATAACACGTTAAGCGAGAAGAAAAAGAAATAATTCTCTGACCGCAAACCAGACCGAGAACATCTCTAATACCGACTTAGTCAGTCGCCAAATACAATAAATACACACACATATATGTAAAGACGTAACGTACATAACATACCATAATGTGTACATGTTTTTTAAACATGTATAAGTGCGCATGCAGTTACATTTGTTTGTGGTACAAAGTAATGTATGTATTAGATAGAGGTGCATTCTTTCAATCTGATGTAACTCTACCTTTCGTATCTTGTTTCGCTGTTATTTTGCAACACGTTGCATTCTTTCAAAAGAACAGTAACTTGTGAGAACCTCTCCTTCGAACTGACTACGCGCGCACAGTGACGGATCCTGGCCGATTGATGTGTTTGCATAGGTCAAAAAAACACAGTAGCATATACACACGGATTTTAATTTGCTTCATTCACATTCTCACGACCGGTACAATTTTGCTTAAATCAGTTTTTCTTTTTAAATATTTTTCCCAGAAAACTTGAAAGATTATTCACTTGCATGGGACAACGGTCGGATTGCCACAGCGGTTCATGGACGTTTTCAAGGCATATACAGGATGATCCCAGTCTCGGTGATATCAAGACCAAAACATAACCGAAAAATCAAGTCTTATTATTACAAAATTCCTTAAGTATTCTTGGTGCTTTCTATCTTTCTCGCCTTTTCCTACTGAACTACCCACTCAATGAAATGAAAAACTGCAGAAGCAAGTAGCTGCTCAGTGTTCTAGATGTGCACTTCTTCAACTGAGGAAGATCCCTAGACAAAAATTTTCAGTCTCTCTCCAGTCTTTCATGGTCTCTCACAGTCTCTCATAGTGTCTTAGTTATTGCCTAGGTGTTATTATGGATCTCTCACAGTCTCTGTATAAGAGACTCGAACGATAAAATTGTTAATTCAGAGATTCGAGTCTCTCACAGAGAGACAATGAATAAAACTGAAAAATTTCGTTCAGAGACTGGATACGAAATGAGAATCTCTCTATGAGCTACTCGAGTCTCTCGCTCAGAGACCGGATACGAAATGAGAATCTCTCTATGAGCGACTCGAGTCTCTCGTTCAGAGACGCTAAACAGTTTTTTTGACAGCGACACCAGAGAGACTCGATGAGTGACGGAGACTCGAGTCTCGCTTACAGAGACTCTGAGAGACTGAACATTTTTATCTCGGGGTGGTTCCAAAATTTTCAAATTCTCTGGGCACATAAGGATAACAGAGTCCCTACGGCTTTGACATCCAAAGAGAGTAGATACGTAAAATTCAATACAGATTTGCTCGCTTTAGTTTTTAAAAATTATTGCACAATTTTTTTTTGTTGAAAGCTTTAATATAAAGTTTTGTTTGCAATTTCACTTAACATTATAAGAAGTCAGTTTTCTGGTCAGTAATTATTGGTATATTTACTCAAAATAAATATATGTACATTTTTCGGTTGGCGAATGGATCTAGCAGGAACTATGGAGCCCATCGATTGCGAGGCTTTGGGCACTTGCCCAATGTATAAGAGAAGCCAGTATAGGTCTACCTCTCCTCTCTTAACTCCTGTTTTTGCTTCTAATATGTGTCCAACTTGCTCATCATGTCTCAGAAGGAGATGCAGAACTAACCATCTATACTAAACTTTGCATTCTCTTGAATGCAAGAGGTTTTAGACGGCTTTATCTAATGGCACGCTAAAGGAATTTATTGACGTTTCGTCTATTAAGACAGGTGCACAATGATCTTTAACATCGCATAAAAGGTGTGGGAATCGCGTTATGAAAGTAATTTATACCGGGGCACCGATAATGTCGAAGGGCAGACATAGACATGCCGGACGAGGAAATTTAGGGGAGGAGTGCAACGGGCTGCGAACTGGAGCAGAGCAGCGCGAGGGGTCACCGTGACAATGCACCAGCCACCGTGAGATATTCTCACCCTATTTTGCTCTCTCTTCTCTGCAGTCTTCGGTTTATCAGCACATATACACATAACATGCACATATAGAGTCGGTACGTTGACACAATCACATTCACAAGAATCGTTTGTTCATCTGTTCAATAATCCTTGTTTTTTTTCCCGAAAAATAGCGACTAGATACAAGTATTTTGAATATTTTCAACTTACGCGTCAAAATTAGTATTAAACTTATTACCAACAAACAAAATTAATTTCGTTTTAATAATCATTTGATTGAATGCACAACTAATTTCTAGTGTCCGACCGAAAGTTCGGTTTCGGTCGAGTTTCGGCAAAAAAAACGAGTTTCAGTTTCGGCGGCAAACCTGCCGAAACTACGACCGAAACCGAAACTGCGTTCGGGAGTTCTCGCGCTATGCTCGGTCATGTTCGGCGCGTTAAATTCCATCCAAGCGAAGTAGATTAGTAGACAGACATAAAAAAGCATGAATAATCTTCAAAAGAAAAATGAGTCTAGTCCAGAGCCGGGCAAACTCGGATCTTTTGCATCCCGAGTGATCCTCAAGGTTAACCAAGTAGATCCTCATTGATCCTGCGAGTGCGAGTGAGATGATTCTTTCCTTTTCTTATCCCTTCGATTTCGTAGATGAGTCCCCTCTTCCATAGCCAAACCCAATGGTTTTGCGAAAGTAGTAACGAAAATTTTCGTACGATTATTTAAGTTGCGAGAGTGGCTTCGCTCGTCTACGGGATGAAGGGGCTTATATAGAAGTGGAAGGGAGAAGAAAAAGACAAAACAAAATTATTCATTACTGCTTACTCTCTCGTACTCATTGAAGGGTATGGAGTGACTCAAACTAACCTCATGTAGCGGCTCCTGCGAAGTTAAAGTTTGCCCGGCTCTGGTCTAGTCTACTAAACTTACTCAAATAAACATCTCACCTATTTTAAGTATTTTTAAGGCGCAATTAAAGTATTTCCTTAAATGAGGGGTTGTTATGTTGATTTCGATTTGATTATCAATAAGTGAAAATGTCAAAGACTGCAGAGCTATGTGATTTAAAGATAAAAAAATAAAATTGACTGATTATAATAACGTTTTCTTTATTTTTCTTTCAAAACATGATCCTTATAAGGAAGTTTCGGTTTCGGCCGAAACTGAGACCGTTGCCGAAATTTTGTTTCGGCTTCGGTTTCGGTCGTAAAAACCAGGTTCGGTCGGACACTACTAATTTTATTCCAGGTCTTTCCAAAATGTAGTCACCACTAAATAAAAGCAGGGATTCCGATCACGACTAGTGCATGTGGACTTAGGACTCCGGAGCATAAAAAAGCCAAGCACTTTAACGGCTAGTCAGTTAGANATTATCAATAAGTGAAAATGTCAAAGACTGCAGAGCTATGTGATTTAAAGATAAAAAAATAAAACTGACTGATTATAATAACGTTTTCTTTATTTTTCTTTCAAAACATGATCCTTATAAGGAAGTTTCGGTTTCGGGAGACCGTTGCCGAAATTTTGTTTCGGCTTCGGTTTCGGTCGTAAAAACCAGGTTCGGTCGGACACTACTAATTTTATTCCAGGTCTTTCCAAAATGTAGTCACCACTAAATAAAAGCAGGGATTCCGATCACGACTAGTGCATGTGGACTTAGGACTCCGGTGCATAAAAAAGCCAAGCACTTTAACGGCTAGTCAGTTAGACTTTATTTAATCTGACAGTGGTTTAGCTTTATGTTCGGGCAAAAGAAAATAGCCGAATAAATAACGCTGCAGTACTTTCCCGTAATAAGTGGGATGTCAGCAGTCTAAGTTGGCAAAGCTCGGGTTCACCAAGAGTTCGACAAATCGATAGCAATGGAGGCTTGTACAGATAAGGACTGGGACATCAATTCACGTCATGTTTTTCCCTTTTCGTAGCCATTGCCTTTCGCAATGTTGTATTTGCCGCAATTACAAGTCCCTCCCTGCATCGAACGGTAATAAATATATATGGCATGTGCATTATCAATTGACAATTTTTTGTACTATAAATAATAATAATGTGATTACTTATCTTGTACTGTTTCTATACAGGTAAGGAATAATGTTTACCAAACATAGAAATAACACATTCTTTTATTCCTATGTCTAAATAGCAAAAATGCATAATTACTAACCGAACTCTCATAATGTTTTAAACAAAGCCAACGCCATTGAATGTATTTATAAGAATTTCACTATATTACGTCCTATTTATAAAAAGATGACCACCCTCTGGTGATGCATGTAATAAAATATCCCTATGTTCGGTTATCAATGTGCCACTAGTGTATATCTATTTATCTTTATAGCTCTTTGTCTATTTAATCTAATCTAACGTTAAATTAGCCACTAAATACTAATAGAGCTGTACATGCATAGATAAGTCCGCAGCAGAAAAAAAATTTTGCAATGTTACGGGAAATTAAGCGTGCAGTGTAACGCCCTCTACGTGGGAGTTTATGTTACTGACAATACATTTACTTAATAACATGTAATGTAATGTCTACATTTGGTTAGTGTGCAATAATTACAAATGTCCGTGCTGGTGCAGGTGGTCGCTTGTGAAAGGTAATTTACAATGATTATTTCGTTTTATTATTCTCGATAATACCATTGAATACATCGGAGCCCAATATTTATGAACGATATCAAATGTGGAACAGAAAGTTTACGTTTACGATAAAATATCTTTAGAAACTTGAAGGAATATTAAGACGGTATAAAAACTGAATGTAATAGAGAAACATTGAAGAAAAGTCATTTGAATGTATTTGCTCCCTATTTCGCATATTTCTTACAAATTTTCATGGTGACTTTTGTTCTCCTATTCTTTCTAATAACTTCGCAATTATAGTCTTCTCTATCCTTATCATTTGCCTGTAACATCATTTGTGTTTGCTTCGCACCCGTACAGCACCGCACCAACCAAAAATATTATGACGATGAGACACTTGTTGCCTGCATTACAGGCCCAATCATAGGCCTCTTCAATTTTTTGTCCTTTTCTCAAACCTTAACAATCGCTTGTAAAATTTATTTTGGTTCATTGTAATATCCTAACCCCTAGCGACAGTAAGTAAAGCAGGGTGCTTATAGGTTGCAGAAAAAGAAGACAGAGGTCGTAAACGTGGTCGCGTGGTGCATGTTAATGAAAAATAAATTACTGATTAGAAGCACGAGCAGTTGCAAGCGTGCGCTTAATAGGTGTCTGTCTAATTATGGACAAGGATGCGGCCAACTTTTTTTTAGGAGGCGTTTCCGGCCAGATGCTAGCTTATATAATGAATTTACACAAACACACACGTTTGCATCAACGTAAACAATACAAGATTTGCTCCGTCCATCCTGCAAACTATAGAAAGCCCACCTACATCGGACACCCTCTGATAAGTAGATTCCTACATGTAAATTGCTGCATTAAGTTTACTAATGTTCAGCAATTACAATGGGCATAATAATGTGATTCGTATATATTGATACGTAAACTTGAAGATGATGACAATTCCGTTTAGAGTTTTGGATTTCAACATTTCATATTATACTGAGAATATTTCACTAAATATGTCTACTTAACATTTCAAATTAAACCGTAATGGCCGACAACGGCAACAATGAGGTAATAAGTGAAAAAGCATAATGGCCGACAATAACAACAATACGGCAACAATTGAAAAAGTATAATGGCCGACGACGGCAATAATTAAAAAAGTATGATGGCCGACAACAACAATGCACGAACAATAGAAAACAAAATGGCCGAAGATTGACAACAAAGTAATTCAATTCAAATAAAAATATCGTTAAGGGTTTTTTTATTAAGAAAGAGACAAATAATTCATTTACTATATTTCGGTCTATGAATTGTTTCTAATGATTTTCTGTTGTATTTTAAAATGTTTTTGAATTAAAAATTCCGAATTGAACAAACATGGATATAATAAAAAATTTATTTTATATAACATTAACCAATTGATGTTATTTTTGATGCTTGAACTGTGTATTTTTTACAATTTCATTTACACGTCGCAAATTTGATTTAAAAAAAAAATTGCACGGAGTTGACAAAGGTATTGAAAACATTCCAATAAACCAGGTAGACATGTCATGCTTTATCTAAATAGCATCATAAAAAAAGAATTGTGTAACTTAAAATTCCTTAACATTCCTTTTACTTTAGTTAGGTGCCTACTCAAAATGAATAATTAAGCAATACGTAGGAAATGTGCACTCGATTTTGAGTGCCAAAAGTTTTGTTTTTTATATGCGCGTACCTTACCTTATGCATCATGACTAATTAACAAAATACTTAATAAGTGACGGAGACTGGATGTTTATTAGACGTTCATTTTATTTCTGTACTGCCCAACGTCTGACACCTCGGAGAACAATATTAAATATATATATATATATATGTATGTATAATAGTACAAAACTTACAATAGAGTCGGACATTCCGCGCTCCCACGCACTCGCATTCTTTAACCTACTTATTCCTAGACACTCTCACGACACAACCGAAAGGAGAAACATACACGAGAAGTAAATAGAATCAGTGCGGCACGTCTCTGATGAAAACAAACGAGGGGGACGGCTGACGGTGCAACTGTTTGTCGACCAGCGCCGCGACGCCTGGCGACCACGTCACACGCGCTTCCGTTTTATTAAAGCTCCGTGGGCAGTGCTTGGGGAATGCGGGGCCCGTCGAAGTCAACGTCCACCCCCGGCCCACCCAGAAGTGTACGCATACACCTATTACTTATACTAACTCAGTTAACGATCGGTGTATGGAAAGCAACAATAAAATGAGCATCATTCACGAGACAAAACGATCCCGAAATACATTGTAGGAAAACGTCGAAAGTTGCGTGAAATTCCGTAAACTTAACTTTTTAGGTTTGATAGGGTTTTGTAAAGTTTCATCTAAAGTTATTAAGTAGTTTAAAAGATACTTTTTGGTAAATGAGAACGCCAAAAACCTATCTGCGATATCTAATAGTATAGCACGTTAGAATTACTGACAATTATTAAAACGTTTCATTAAAAGATTACTTAGACCTACTTTCGATTACCAGAATCAGAATTGTTAATAACAAAGCGCAACTCTTTATGTACATATATCAGCTGGAATTAAACAATTGCAATGAATTGGACGGGTTTAAACGTTTCTTGTATAATTGGTTGCATAGACATACATACTAATGGACGTGTTATACCCAAATTTGGGCATCGTGTCTACCAACTGTAATTAGATTCCGAAATCAGTGGAGATTGAAATTAAAATATCCTAAAACATTTTTGGTTGCACTTTAGGAGACCCCATTCTACACTTTTTCTCCATACCTAATGAAGCCCAAAAAATATTTTTTCTTTACGACAAGAAACGTTTGAAGCGAAATCTTATATATAAACACTTACGCGAGTCAGTATTCACCGGAAACAGTCTAAGTAATAAAATTTTACCACTAAGTACCACTTGGTATTTATTCCAAGTAAAGTGAAAGAACTGTTGAATCAGATTAAAAGAGTATAAAACTTAATAGTATTGATAGCATTCACAGTTTAGCGGACATGCAAGCCGTATGAAATGCGCCACTACATCGAAACCGTTTCAAAGCCCAATTATGACAACACCGTAAAATCAGAATGCATCACAAACCAAAACCAACCAAGCTAAACAACAAATGTAATTGTTTAAAAGATGAAAAAATCTACTCACTGCGTGATGGCTTCTGGTATAATATCGTCTACGACCACGTATATCATGGCACCTGCCGCAAAAGCTAGGGCATACGGAAGAACTGGCTGGACCAGAGACACTGTCAAGGCACCTAAAACACCAAACAGAGGCTCTACCATACCACTGAGTTGCCCATACCTGCAAAAGAAGAAAAACATTTCTAATTTGCCATTGCATTTGTATCAAGAGGGTTTAAAAAGAAAGTTAGGTCTTAATTAACGAAATATCACAAATCTCCAATCCCATTAATCCATAATATATGAAGATTGGAAAAACTTTGGCGGTTGTTGTAGAACAAACAGAATAGCTCAAAACCCCAACGCCAAAACACGACACTGTAGTTGTCCGAAGCACTTTTCGGTAACAAAGTTACCTTCTTCAGGGACTGAAGTAAACTGTCAGTCACTGAAGAAGGTAACTTTGAAGTAAACTGTCAGTCCCTGAAGAAGGTAACTTTGTTACCCAAAAGTGCTTCGGACAACTACAGTGTCGTGTTTTGGCGTTGGGGTTTTAAGCTATTCTGTTTGTTCTAATCCATAATATACCAAAAATTCCCAGTGTTGTCAAGTTTGTTCATACTTTAGACGATACTCATCTGAATTTAATCAAAATTTCGAAAAGTCCCTGGTTCTAATGGAAACTATGACATTTCCCTGACTGTTTTCTGTAGTTACTATTCAAAGGTTTACTAGCAGCCAAAAACAATTGCGCTTCCTCATTCTCAAGAACTATTAAACAGGGGACACAAAGGACATACCTAGCCCAAAAAAGTTTAAATGCCAACATTATCCGTCTAAAGGACACCAACAGTATCGTATCGATCCGTTGTGCACGTACAAAAGTGAAGGGTGCAGTAATGGGGGATTATAGAAAGGAATTACAAAGGTATGTGTTATTACATTATGGACATGCTTGTGTGTAAGTACATGGTGCAATAACATTCCTCGGCGACCACAGTTCAATGAGTGAGAACGAGATGGAAATAGCGTGCGAGTGAGTGAGGAAGTGTTAGCGAGCGAACAGTGGGCCATGGGGAACTAATGAGCTGGGAACGACCTTGCAGGGTCGTCCGTCGTGGACAGTAGCGGCGGTACGGGGCAAGAGGGGAACAACGATAGTAACGAAGAAGTGCGCAGATAGGTATTTCCAGCATCTTGCTACAACCAAATACGCTGAGAGATGCGCCATAATGAGTTTCTATATAAGCCAAGATGTTATGGGGTTTTTAACTTACCATATATGTAGGTAGGCACTAAAGTATTTCAATATCACAGAGTATACACACAAAGATGAAGCGGTTTCGTTAAACAAATTAATTAGAAAATTGTATACCGCATGATAATATGTGATTAGGGGCAATGAAATTCCCACAGCATTAAGGTAAGTAAATAGTGTAATATTTTAGTGAACAATTGTTTTCTATTTCTTTTCTGCGAATCTATTCATGAATCTATGACTTTATAACACCTGTCATCGATACAAAACACTGATTGAAGAAAACAACTAAAAGTTCACGGTGACCATGATTGAAACAGGATCGCAATTTCGATTTCATTGGATCTCATTAGCACGCCATAGACAGTTCCAACAGAATACGGTCAACTTTACCTGTTGCCTTTATAGACAGCGTCCTTTGAATAACTACAAATGGTGTAGTAAAAGTTACTCTAGTCAATTAGGATTCAAAAATGTTCGATAAGATCTATAAGGATATCGATTTGCCACACTGAATCCAAGGCGTATTTATCTCTACCTTAATTTTCTGAATTATTAGCTGTTGGTGGTCTACTTTGTAAGTCAACACTGGATGGAGCAATGGGAGAATAGAAGTGTTGAAATGACAGAATTATTCAAAACGTGTTGTTGAGTCTTTCGCTTATTAATTTCGGATTAAATATTATTGCACATTATCTTTACTATTAAGAAAACCCTTTTCACTGTATGACAGGGACAGGCTTTTACAGTCCATTTCAATTTGTTAGAATTGTGACCTTGAAGAAATCTGCTCGAAGTTAGAAAGAATACACACTAGGCGTGAGCAAGACAGAAATAGTTGGAACAAGCTTGAACGAGCAGAGCTCTCGATGGGCGGTCTTAGGAGATCGGCTAGAACTGTACAGTACTAGACGAAAATGTTTAGCAATTTCATAAAACAAAAATGTATATAAATTAACAATAGAAAACAAAGCAGAAGTTTTATAGGTGTGTAGAACGTTAAGTTAATTCACTTGTTGTTATTTTTGGTTAAATATGCTTTTAAATAACGCATATTCTTAAATTTTAACGAGGCAGTTTAAATAATTTTGCAAATGGTACTGTACACTTTTGTCTAGTTCTCGCTCGATGATCGGTGTAGAAATGAGCTCCGCAGACAAATATGATTGAAGTTGGAATTATGCTACGGCGCATCCTAATAAAGGAAAGGGGCATATCTCCAACTTCTTGAAACGAACAGTATTTTTCTATTACCTAATTGATGTCAGGAGAACTTAATTATTAAAAAGAGATGCAAAATTAATTTAAAGATAGATGAGAGCACAACGCCTGTGAAATAAATATTCTTTGCAGAATACGTCTCTAGATGATCCTTAAAACTTTCCAAGATTACTAATTCCCACAAATATTTACAGCGTATGATCCTGCATCTAGTAAAATAACACAAGAAGTTATTTTAAGGCTGCGAAACTCAACGAAGGCATGCATATTAAAATTTCACATTGTAAGGACAAACAACGTTACATTGGAAAATGGGATCTAGAGAACTAATGTGGGAGGAAGTTATGTGTGGCGGTTTAGTTCACCAACGTGTTTTTGCGAAAATATTAATAATCACGCACTTTCAGTAAACATATCAACAAGGCAATCAGCATATTCAAGGATTTGATCAATTTTATCAGAAAATAGAACACTTAAAAGGAATGTTTGATAAAAAGAGCAAGGATTCTTAGGTCTTAGGCGTTAGTGAACTTTAATGGCAAGTTATAAGTACTGCTTAAGAACACAGAACATTTATATCATGATCAAAGGGTCGTCAATTCTAAGACTGATCGGACACGCACGTATATTTCTTCCTATCCATTTCTATTTATGAGAACAGCAATCTAATCTAGATCTACCCCTACTCCTCTTGTTGTTAACTCCTGTTTTTGCTTCTAAATATGTCTCTAACTAGCCCTTCATATCTGAGAAGGTGTCCTACCGACCCATCTCGCTTATTGATTTCCTTAGTGATCTCTGATCTCCTACTCTAGCAAAGTCAAGACACTATTAAAAATATTTTTCGAATTTCTAAATTAACAATTCGCTAGTACAAAAGTATTAACTAATCATAAGTGACTATCTACGTAGAAAGTAAATTTTACTTTGTTGTCTAAAACGGATCTCCCGCCATCAAATTGAACGGAAGTCCCTAAAGTGGAAGGCATTGTGTCAAAACGTCCTTCATTGGAAAATTGTTGATACCATCCGGTGCTTATTTGTTTCATAATAATTTTTGCAACGACATTGATGGTAATAACGATTATGCGTGCAACGACTTCACGCACGCATATAGACATTACAGTTGTACAAACGTACAAATACACATTATACGTACGTAATATGCATTTAGTTACATAACATTTCTATATACATTACTCACAGAACTGATAAGTATTTTATGTAATTTATTTTGAATCACTGCGTATAAAAAACTATTGAAGAAAATTCTTGATTTTCAGAATTTTTTTATTTGCTTTCTTATTTAAGAAATGCTGAAGTTCACACAGTTTTTGTCTCTTCAAACTCCAATACAAGTATTTTTGTAAAACCTATTGCACCCAAATTTAAAATGTTCACGAAACACTTAAACACTCAGGAAGTACTCGGTAAGTTAAATAAATACTGATTTGTGACAAATTCCGGTAAGATTGTTATCAAATTCATTAACAAAAGAGTAAATTCTATTATTTTTAAGTAGGAAACGCTTACCATAAACTTCTCCACGTAGAATATCCAGCTGCATGAAGTGGAAGACTAACAGCTAAACCTTCAGGGAAATTCTGAATTCCAATGCCAATAGCCAAATTTCTGAAACAACAAAAATTATACTTCTAAAACATGTTTTGTTTTTGTTATGGACTATTGTCAGACAACAGAGAAATTATTATAAAATGAAAAAGCCAATTCCTTGTTTATTGAAGTTTAAATGCTACTTTTTTATTTCAGCTGAACCCTCATATTGTGTTTCCATTTCGTGTTGAAATGATTCGAGTTGATAGTTCAAAAGCATAATTTAGAGTTGGTTTTTTCTAGATCTAGTATCCAATTAAAAATATCACAATTACAACAGTCGTCTAAATATCAGAAACAATTAAGATACGCGCGCTACCCATATTTTCCGGTATCGCCCTTAGCACATGATTAAAGGTTGAGAGGTTCTTGTCGTAAATCAAGCGGGATGATCGGGGTCATTATTTTTATTTTATAGGCAGACATATAAATCATTACGTCTACTACAGTTGCACACTGGATATGGGCGCTCAAACAATTACAAAGAAGTTGCATGGATGTGTACATCGGGATGTAGGGTGAAGTGTGAGATCACTGAAGAACGTTAACTAGATGTTATTTTAAAACTAGATATTGATAGTTGATACATCGTTTTAGGAAGGTTATAGTGTCTAACTTACGAGGGCGGTTCAATAAGTACCCGTGTTACGAAGGAAGACACCTTTTTTTTTATTTTTCAACATAGTCCCCTTTTAGAAAGATACACTTCTCCCAACGACCCTGCCATTTTTTTTACCCCTCCAAAAAAATAAGATTTGTCGAACTCTCCAAAATCCCCCCTGTCTCGGCGATGACTTCCTCGTTTGAGCTAAATTTCTTTCTCGCTAGTCATTTCTTCATGGTAGGGAACAAGATGAATTCACAGGAAGTCAAATCGGGGTTTGCTGCAGCAAATTCATAACGTAATTCATGCATTTTGGCGGCAACATGATGAATGTGCCGGTGCGTTATCGTGTTGAAAACGCACCTTCTTTTTCGTCAAATGCGCCCTTGTCTCCTTCAATTTTTTGTCGAAACGGTCAAATAACTCACTGTAGTATTGTCCAGTGATCCTTCTTCCTTTTCCTAAAAAAATCCGTGAAATGATTTACTCGGTAACAACGTTCGCCAGGCTTCCTGGTCGCTCCTATCAAAAACGGATCTTTGCCCACGTTTAAATTCGTTGAAGCAAAATCTAACTGTGGTCGTAGATGGCGAAATGTCTCCATAAACAGTATCCAACTTTGTTTTCATCTCCTCGCATTTCTTCCCATCCAAAAACAAAAAGCGAATTACCGAACGATACTGCTCTTTTTCCATCTTAGCGAATATAACGAAACACGTCTCAGTCGAATGGCTGCCAAATCCAAACTAACCTATCAATCAGTCTGAAATCGGTTTTGGCGTGGTTTGATAGATGGCAGCACACGATGACAACACCAATTTCGCTTAGGAACGTCCTCTGTCTTCAAACACGGGTACTTATTGAACCGCCCTCGTACATAAAACGTCAATGGAGATGTCAGGCAAAAATTGGAAAACAATTACTGATCGAGATATGTTACCTTAACACCGATAATTTCTCCTGGAATTTATTAAAATAACATATCGCACATTTGTATTTGGGAGTTAGTTTTTAAAATGTCAAAGCATTTTGTAGTAGTTGATACAAAAATCTACAAAGCACAGGGAGACAGTATAAGAACAAAGGCTTTCACGGCCGGAATCCATAGTAGAATGAAGATTCGGGCTATAGGGCCGTGGTCTAAGTGAACTATTCTGTCCAGACGTTTCGTCAGCTATTGCGACTGACATCCTCAGTCGTAGTGCTGCGTTGACAACGTAAACGTAGATTATACCTCGAAGTCTCGACTTCGACACAACAGTTCACTTAGACCACGGCCCTATAGCCCGAATTTTCGTTCTACTACAGATAGACATTCCATGATTATTGTAATTTAGCTTCTCGAATTAATTAACATCCATTATCTCCACGATCAACTCCATACGAACTTATCGCAGGCTTAACGATTGGTTATTGGCTGGATGCATATCCAGGCCCATTTAGGGTACCAACCCATAGATTCTGTTTCCTCTCATTATCGAAATAAGGAGCGGGCGATATACGAGGGTGGATTGATAAGTTTCCGGCCTGACCAAGAAAAACAAGGTTTTTAAAAATTTTTTTTTTTTATTTCTCAACATAATCTCCTCCAAGGCTGATACATTTCTCATAGCGGTGTTCCAGTCTATTAATGCCATCTCTATAGACTGATTCGTCAAGCTCCTCAAAATAACCATTTACAGCTTCGATTACTTCTTCATTGTCCGCAAATCTCTTACCGCCAAGCCATTTTTTGAGATTAGGGAACAGAAAATAGTCACTCGGGGCTAGGTCTGGAGAGTAAGGAGGGTGCGGCATCAATTCAAACTTTAGATCGTTGATTTTAGCCGTCGCAACGATTGACGTGTGCGCTGGTGCGTTATCGTGATGAAACAAGATTTTTTTCTTCGCCAGATGAGGTCGTTTAATTTTCACCTCGTGGCTCAAACGTTGCAATAAGTCTGCGTAGTATTGACCAGTGATAGTATTACCCTTTGCAAGGTAATCAATGTATATAATACCTCTTGCATCCCAAAAAACAGTAGCCATAACCTTGTTCGCCGAAAAAATTGTTTTTGCCTTCTTTGGAGTTGGTTCCCCTGGTCCAATCCACTGTTTAGACTGTTCTTTGGTTTCAGGAGTGTAGTGGTGGACCCACGTTTCGTCAACGGTTACGAATCGACGCAAAAATTCGCTTGGATTACGCTTATACAATGACAAATTTGCGGTAGAAATGTTTTTTCGAATCAATTTTTGGTCGACTGTTAGCAAACGCGGCACCCATCTTGCACAGAGCTTTTCCATATGCAAATGTTGGTGCAAAATATGTTGCACACGTTCATATGACATCTTACAGGTCTCAGCTATCTCACGCACTTTCAATCTGCGGTCTCCCAGCACTATTTGATGAATTTTTTCGATCATATCTGGAGTTGTGACCTCAACGGGGCGTCCTGAGCGAGGCCCATCAGAGGTGCTCACACGACCCTTTTTAAACTCGGAAACCCACTGCTTAACGGTTGAATATGACGGGGAGGATGTCCCCAGTGTTGAGTCCATCTCTTTTTTAATTTCCTTCGGCGTTAACCCCTTCAAATAAAAGTATTTGATGACAGCACGATTTTCCTGCTTTTCCATTTTTACGAAAACCACAGAGGCGTCTTGTTCAGCGTGCTGTCAAACCTACACTAGCAAGGAGATCGGGCTGAAACTATAGCTACAAGCTATCCAAGGATGGTACTATAGAATGTCACCTCAAGGTAGGCCTAGTGGCGTCATCTCTTGGTTAGGCCGGAAACTTATCAATCCACCCTCGTATAGGAATAACACATAGAACGATTGCATATTTGTACTTGACCTTTATATTGTTCGTTGTAGGTCGAGTTATCAAGTGTTATCAACGGAGTTCTTAACTGTCGAGGATGTGGTTTATGCTGGCGAATTACGTATACGAATGGACTTCCTCGGGAAGTGGCCTTCCTTGTTGCCGATGCCACGTTCGGGCCGGACCCACGCAATACTTCCGACGGCGACGTCCCGTTATTTGTTGATTCATTCATTTCATTCATTCATACATTCATTCTTTCGTACGTTTCATTTATGTCCAAACATGCACACATACAGAACAACAACAGAAACAACAATTTCCGTATGTACTTACTGGAAATTCATGTAGGTCAATGTAACACAATTAATCAAATATTTCGTCATTGATATATGTCTATTATGAGTATGGAAAAGTCTGGATATCATGATCGAGCATTTAAACATTATCTCACTTATCAGGAAAGCACAGGAAAGGAGTTCAGTATCAAATTCAGCAGAAATTACATTCACAACAAAAGAACGTTATGTTGATTTTAATTCCTTGGTATATACCCCTTCAACAGCTACTCTCCATGTCCCCCGTTTAAGTAATCTTGTAGATATTTCGGAATCCATTTTAGAATTCTTTAAACGTACGGGTGCGAAACATAGACAGTGGGCGCGGAGGAAAAAAAAGATTAGAAATGTTCGAAATGTGGTGTTATAGGCGGATGATGAGGATATCGTGGGTAGAAAAGGTTAGAAATGAAGAGGTATTGGAAAGAATTGGAGAACAGAGGACTGTATGGAAGTCAATAAAAAATAGGCGAGATAGGTTGGTAGGACACCTTCTCAGGCATGAAGGTCTAGT